TTGTTTTTTTTGTAATATAAGGCAACATGGATGGATGGTGGTCACGAGAAAAGGCACATTTCGTTTGATATTTTTGCTATGTATATAAAGGGTATATAAAAATAAGATGAAATTTATATGCCATATACGAGCTGTACATCTGTTTGTTGGTTTGTTTTACTGAGCTGTGCAGTGACACTAATATCGCTTGAATATCTCTTTGTATAATAAAATTTATTTTTTATTTTATTTTTCAAACTAAAAATTTGTGTTACACTGAATTTTTTTTTGTAATTTATTGCCCCTTTATTTAAGTTAATTTTCGTACTGCAGTAGTAATTAATCAATTAATAATTTTTTTTTTGGAAATAGCTTTGACTAGTTTTATTAGTAAACCATGTGCAGGCTTTATTCGCGGCCGCATTTGTTCTGGCTGCTCTTGTTGTTGTTGTTTTCATAAACGCCTCACTTTATGCTTTTTAGCAAATTAAATATAAATTATTATTTTCCAACGCTAACTTTGTGGTTAATAATTTATATGTATATAATGTATAGAGTTATGTTCTTCAACATTAATATATGTAAATAAATATGTTTTTTGTTTTTTTTATGTTTTTGTTTTAAGTTTAACCATTACACAAGTCTGCAAAATAAAATAATATATGTATGTATATAATAACAACAAAAATTAAATGTAATTTATATTAAGCGACTTTTACTATTGCAGCTGCTGGTATTTGTTTTTGTTTTATTAATATTTAATTTCTTTGATTGCTTTTCATTAAATTTGTTCATTCAACTAAAGTGTTCATCATTTGTTTGTTTTGTTTTTGTGATTATGTGTATGTGTGTGTGTGTTTGTTAGAACGCATTGACCAGTTCCACTGGCGCCAACCATGCACTGAGGCGCTCAGCGTACTCGTTCCACATAGTTGCCGGGAAAGGTGCCGAAGCAGCCCGTACGCTGTGACGTGCCCACGAACCAGCCGTCGTCGCATATCTCCAGCACATGGACGATGTCGCCCTCCAGCAGCTCCATTTCGTCAGAGTTCTGCGGTCGGTACTTGTAGAGTGCGCGATAACTGTGAAAGTATTTAGAGCGAAATTAGGAATAATTTTTAATTTAAATTGTTAGTTCTTCTAACTTACACTAGAGGCTCTGAATGCGTGTCCACGTGTAGTGCATCAATTTTGTTGTTGTGGTGTTTGGTTTCTTTGAGTATGCCATTCGGTGGCTGATGGCCATTTTTGGTTATTAAATTGAACTCGTTATTAATATTTGTGCGTAGTGTGTCGAGTGAGGGACGTAAATTCGTGACGCTCGCCTGTTCGGTGATAACGGTGCGAGCGGCAATATCTTCGGCGCCAATATCAGTGAGTACCTGAAAGTAGCATAATATTTTGATAATGGTAATATTTTTTTAAAATTATACTCGTTTACTCACCTCAACATATGACACTGGGAAGATGCCCTTTCTATTCGCTATTTTGCCCTCAAACCAATTCTCATCCACGCGTCGTGTCAGTGTGACCAGTTCGCCTTTGTTCAGCGACAATTCTATGCCGGATTGCGCTTGGAAGTTATATTTGGCACGCGCCTGTCCCTCTGATGGTTTCTTTGGTTGTTGACGAGCAATTTCTTTGTTTACGACCTACGAGAAATAAATTTAGTCTAATTTAATGAACTTGAATTTCGCATTAAATGTTTAAAGTTAAAGTTAAGGTCACTCCCAAAATTTTAGCAAATTGGGTTAAAATTTATTTAATATTCTTGATAGAGTTAGAGTTTGAAATACATTTTTTCGAAAATTTAGAAATATTGATTAAATTATTTGAAAGTACTGATTTCAACGGGTTGCCACTTTTTTTGAAAAAATATTTTTAAGTAGTACACCATATATATTTTTTCTATAAAATTTTTTTACAAAACTATTTTTAAAAACGTAAATTTTTTTTCTTCGAAGCTACATCTCATTTTTTATGCTTTTTCTCATTCCTTATAATTTTCCAACAATGGCAACACTCACCTCCACATAGCTCACAGGCAGTAGACCAATCATGGCATTAAATTCACCTTCGTACCAATTACGATCAATTTGGCGGCGTATGTAAATGATGTCGCCCTTCTTGAATGTGAGTTCTCTGCAACGTATTTCAAAACACATGATTTTCAATTTAACCATATTATATGCATTTCCAATTTACCTTGCATTTTGTCCTTGGAAGTTGTATAGCGCACGCGCTGCCGTTCGTGTTGTTATCGCATTCGGCGATTTGGGCGCCAAATCTGATTGGAAGTCATCATAACGATTTAACGGTATTGGTGATTTTTGTGTTGGTGTAAAGTTATCGGTGTGGCGACGTGCATTCATATCCTGCAACTCCTGTAAGTACTTGCGACGACGTTCCTCCTGATAAAGCTTTTGCATTTGTTCGGCTTGCCGTTGTGCTAAATCCTCATCCGACATGGCCTGTTTGTATTCATGACGTATTGGTGTCTTGAAATGGATATTTACATCCGATTCAAGATAACGATTTGGAGATTCTAAGGGAGGAGAATTAAAGGGAGCGGAAATGTTATTAACGGCAGTTTTTTTTGTTGTTGTAGCAATAAAGTGCATATGTACTTTAGACTAGATTGTATTGGAATTGGCTGTTAGAAAGAGCATTAAATTATTATAGTTTTTAATGCGCTACTAACGCCTCGTTGTTCAAGTGTTTTAACATTTTCTTACTGATAACACGTGGGAGCCTTAATTGGATTATATTATTTTTAGGCATTAAAAACTAAACAATTATAAGCAAATGGCTTGAAGCAACTTGTAGATCCTTATCGGTTGAGTTTTAGTTATTATTATTCAGATCTTCATATGTATATTTCTGAATAATCTTAGAAAAAAACTTTATTAGATCTAAGCTATAAGTGTTGAGTTTTCAGTTTTCGGTGAAGTTTTTGTTTTTGATTTCATGGTGATCTGCTCTTTCGATGAACTACAAGTATATGGTTGACGTATGATTTATATTTTCTTCTAATCAATCATAAAAGCATATAATAGTTTATTATACCTTAATCTGAATATTATCTTTCTATTTGTGTTGTACGTTTTGATGATATTCGACCAAAATAGTTCTTAGGATTCAAGTCTGCTTTTGGAAACATTTATTAATTTAATAAATAATATTTTCATGTCGGAAAAATA